TACCAGTTAACAATTGAACTCCTGATCCTCAGTCGTTAGGTCCCTTAACAGGGTCTGCTTGGCCAGTCTGGGCACTGCCAGGGGTGTCTCATTTGAGCCAGTCCTGTCCCAGTCTGACTTATTGTTGGTACAGTAGTCATCGGAATTGGAATCCTCTAAAAACCATGATCAGGTTGCTTAGCCACTAGCCATGTGAGAAAACAAGGACTTACCGAGTATGCGAGCCTGCAGGAGCTTGGACTATGCAACAAGTGCGGACTTGAACATCTCGCGGTACTCAACATCAAGCTCGTGTAAACGTTGTTGTCAGGCCTCTTGCAGCTCACTTCGGGTTTGTCGAGGCATCACGGTACTACAAGTTAGAGGAGAGAGCGGAGATGTCACTGTCTTTATACCAAGCAGGTGTGCGTGACATTTCCGTTCTATTCGATCTGCTACCTGACACCTTCGTTATTATTTTAACTCAGCTCACGTTCTCACACTACTGAAACAACCAAGGTACGTTGCCCTGTGCATCTTATTTTGACCTTGAACATCTCTAATGCTCGTATTTGTGCCAACAACGAATTTCACGTTCGCGTCGACAAGTTCGGTTCAACGCGGATTGGACTACACTCGGACGTCGGCGGACCGAGCGCAACAAAGTGTCGAAGCAGGCGAGTTGATTTGAAGTCATCAGGTAAGATGGCCCGTTGTGACGCAGAACAGCTCGATCGCCGAGCTGTGTTTCCCCTCACTCGAGAAATACCTTCATGCTGCAGTACAACGTGGCCTTCAAAGCAGTGGCGGTGCATGTAAGCCCCAATTGGCTGTATCATGAGCTTTGCGGCTTCCATCATGCGGAATTCCCCGGCTTCCGCATTGCTGACGAGCCTGCTTCTTTCACAGTGGACAGATGCCACCGAAAACTCGAGTCTACAGTCAACAAGTGAGTGCGCAGTGTTGTAGCGCGTAAAGCCAGCTGTCTAGATCGAACACATATTTCCAATCTTTGATAGGGAGGCCACCAGGACCTGAAAATTTTTATGTTTGATTTCTTCCGCCTTATGCCCTCAAGTTTCTGAATAAGGTTGGTTTATGTCGGTCCGCATCCGCAAGGGGGGCGCGAGCATCAGCCATCTATACAAAATTCGTACTACTTACGCTGGCCCAAATGCAGAGTTACTTCGACATAGCCTGCACGCTAGATTTCCTGCTCTGCGATGCTATTTTACCTCCCTCCAATGAAACCGACAAGTCATGAAACAAATGGCAAGAGCTAGAAAACGCCGCGGATAGATAATTAGTCTGTCGCATAGCCACCATACACAGTTATCCAGATACGTGTTAAATCTTTGCCGAATCACGATACATATATTATTCCACTTGCCACAATCAGATGTCTTGTTCGTCATCCTAAGCGTGAAATCGTACATCTTCACAAGCGCCGCACTTGCTCTGGGTCTTCGCACCAAAAGCCTCCGGCGGTGGCTATTACCGGGATTAAAGTGCCGTTAGTTGAGCCCCAAGGCCCTTTCAGACAAGATTGAAAACGAGCATAGCAATAGCAGAAGTCACATTCCCATACAAGTTTCAATCTTAGGGAAGACAAATAGTACAAACAAGCATTCGGATAGACATACTGCAAGTCAATTACAGGATTTTCAATGATCGCCATCTTAATCTGAGAACTTCGACTCGATCGCATATTTCACTGCAGCGTTTCCAAAACCCACTCCTTCGCCGGGCCGACATGGTGTGCCTCCACGATGGCCGCAGAGCCCTGCTGCTGGAATCCGACATGGATGTCAGTAGTCGAGCCAGTGTTGCTGTTGACTCTGGCATACAACAAGTTGCTCCCATCGGCAACTGTGTAATCGGACGCAGGGAAGGGATATCCGTTAACCCACTTCGTGCCGTTCCAAGCTAATTCGACCAGGACATTGTTGGTAGCGACGTAGTAGACCCTGATCTGTACGCAAATGCTCGGTCTCAACGCTACATCACGCGTAGCATCAAATCGTTTACCTGGTTGGAAAAGGTGACGGCAGCCACAGGAGAGTTGGAGCGCGCAGCAGTTATGC